AGGCCTCTCTCATCTTTTTAAGTGGGAGAACTTGCACAATTGGTGGCTGACTAAATACTTTTTTGCCCCACTGTACATATTTCAAGTATATTGTGTTCTCTGGCTCTAAAGCCATAATTAAGAGATTATTTTGTTTGAGGAGAATGCTCTTAAAGTGCTAAAGCACTAGCAAGGAAGAATGTAAACCAAACACACATTTTGGGAAATACCAAGTAAGAAGTCAAATTTAAACAGTGTAGAATATAAGCTGAGGAAAAATGTTGTTTATAAAAATAGCCCACCTACGTAGAAGGCAGAATATGCTTATAAATAACTCTTCCTGATGAAATAATTATATGAAACAATTTTGACTTGGGTAATTTATAATTCAAAATTTAAGCAGTAAATTATTACATTCAAGGTTTACTAATATAATGTATCATATTGAAGAACTATTAGTATATTTTCATAAATGACAATTTCCATTGTAGAAGATATGCTGTTGCATAGTGATCTGTATTAAATATATGGATATATTTACTATTTTTATTGCAAAACACAAAGTATTACTGTATCATTATTGTAAGATTATTTTATAAAATTATGAACTGATATTAAACATTTTATCTATGACTTTATGGTTTGTAATACAGTTAATTGGCTTATGTTCATCCTTTCTAGTACTCTGACACTTCATGCTGTAATCTTAGAAAGGATTCACCTGTTCTACTGGAAATCTTTCCTAGCATTATGATTCTGAATGTAAAACACACAGCTTAAATAAAATATTTTGGTGAAAATGAGGGATGCTATAGGGATTCACGTTATAAGGAGGATACCACAGAACCAATTTATTTTCCATTAAAGAAACTATCTTATACCCCAATCCTAAACTTCATTATTTGGAACAAAATAGCAGCATAACCAATGAGTCCAATAGTAAAAACAAAGCAAAACTATCTTTCCTTCTTCCTGACCTGTCTCCACATTCAATCACACATCCAGTTTCATCAATTAAAATTAAGAAACCTGGACTATTCCAAAGAATTAGGCTACAAAAATCATATCAGAAACAGCGAAGTTATTACTTATTCTCACCTTCAGCTCAAACACAGGAGTGTCTATTGTCACAGCTCCATGACGCTTAAAACAGCTAATTATAGTGCTGAAGATTTTTTCACGAATAGCCATTTGCTTTGGGCTAAAATCCCTGGTGCCCTAAGAGTTCAAGGCAAAGGCAAAGAGGTTAGAACTTGAAAATGTTTGAAAGAAAACTGAACAGATTAAGCACATGAAAAAAAAACTATCTGGAAAAGTGCAAGGTCACCTAAAGTGCATCTTTTTCCACTGAGGGTAATATCAGAGCTAAGCTACTTGGAAGAGACCCTGGGGAGGAAATTGAACACAGTAGATCCAGATAGGTGACTAATACGGGGCATTACCTTGGGAACTTTGAGAATGAGGTTTTCTTTTGAGGCACCAGCATTTTGCTGGTGTGATAGCTGTTTTTCTGCATCTTCAGTAACCTGAGAAAGAGCAGAGCAAAACAAACCTGATATAGAAAAAGAGTAGCACTGATCTTCTAGTCCTTGTTATTGTCAGAAAATTCAACTGGTAAAACACAGAATGAAAGAGCTTCCACGCTCCCAATGACTATTCAGATTCTGTATTTCCACGTGTGGTACATTGGTTAAGTTGTAGGACTGGCACCAGGGGGATACAGGTTCTAGTCTCCCCTAAGCCATGGAAACTCACTAGATGAATTTGGCTCAGCTATTCTCTATCAGCATACTCAGGAAGATATTGTTTTTTTAAAAATCTTTTAAAATGCTAAGACATATATTAATAACATTAGAAACTTGAATCTTATATTCTTATAAACTTAAATATTCTTAACAGGCCCTCCTAAACATGTGAAGTAACTCTGTAATATTAATTCAGGCCATTGCCCACCTAGCCCAGACTTATGTGACAAAAGAGCTCCTCAGCAATCTAGCAAAGTGATTTTTCCCAATCTAGCTATCTGGCATCTTTTAAATTAATAGTTACAAATGAAATACTGTTCATCAATTAGCATCTATAGAATAACAAAGTGCTGTGTATAATGATGGATAAATGATAAAAATATTATATAAATATTTTTCAGCTCCAACATTTGCAATTAGAGATAGATCCCAGTCAATAAACACAACCACAGACCAAAGTAATCTTAGAATTCTAAGGACATAAACATCTTAGACTACAAAGAAAAGAATTAAGTACTGCTAAATAAGACACACCTGATTTGGGAGATGACTGGAAATCAAGCGTAGGATGCGAAACTGTACTGGAAATTGCTTGGTTCGAAAGGAAGCCTTTTGTAAAACAGTGATCCAGTGCATGTTGGAAAGTTTAGACAATTACATCACCTACTGTAGTGTCCTACTACTAATACATCAGATTCATAAGGAACTGTCTGCATTTTAGCCAGAAGTAAGCAGAACTATGATCTATAAAGAATAAGACATGCAACGAAAATGGAGAAAAAGAGAAAAAGAATATAAATCCCTTAGTAAAGAAATCATATTGGTCTATTCTTTAATATCACAGCAAGCAAAGATGCAGCATAATTACAGTGCAAAATAAAGCCCAGGAGACAACATCTACACTCATTTGATCATATGCATACTACTGACTCTTCCATTATAGAGCTCAGACGTATACAGAATAGGGATCCACTACATTTTGACCTCCCAATCTATCAGAAAGACTAGGCTAAGATATAATGACTGGTGTAAGGATCACACAGTAAGCTTTATGGCACAGTACAATTTAGAAGTCAGGTCTGGTATAACTGTATCACTCCCATTGCCAGTACTAAGGGGATGAGTAACCTAAAATCCCTAACTTCTTTCTTGCAGCCCCCACAGCTCCCTATCTACTATTGGTAAAAATAAAGGGCAGGGTTTCTGCCATTTTGAAGCAGGAAACACACTTTAAAAACAAGGAGAAAGAAAAAGATCCATTGAAACTAGCCCCCCCAAAACAAGAAGAGTCCACCCCTGCCCAGGAGTGTGCTAAATCCGGCCAACTTTGCATCACTGTCTTGTTGCAAGCAATGCCAATACAAAAGGGTCGCTCACTCCTGCACCAATTGACTCTCACAAACATCGTCTAATGTTAATCATATAATAAATCGAGCGAGGTAAGAATGGCTATTAATGCTTAAATGCAATTTTTGAAAAGTTCAACTGCCGTTTCACAGGACAAGGGACTTTGCAGATAAAAGTTCAGGACCATTTCATTTATGTGAAACATAAGCAGGAATTTGCTCACCATTCTCTAAATTCCCATCAAGTGCATGAATCGTTCAAAGCAGATTTTCAAAACCACAGAGAAAGTTCCCCTCTCGAAGGAAAACGTTTAGATTAGAATGGAGCAGAATTTCATAAGGCGAGAGCATATTCCTCACCGGAAGTGAATCGTTTTCACTTTCTCGGTCACAGATTTAAAATGATAAACCAGTGTTTCTGAACCTTGGCGACTTTAAGATATGTGGACTGTTCCCCCAAACAGGCTGGGGAATTCTGGGAGTTGAAGTCCACATATCTTAAAGACGCCAAGGTTCAGAAACACTGCAATAAACTAACCATTTCACCCACCCTGCTTTGGTCTTCTGACAAGCTTTTCTGCGTATTTTAACGCCACCTCGGTTTGTTCTCCGTCTAAAGGTACGACACGTGCCAAGAGCACGTGGAGAAACACAGTCGTTTAAAGGTTTGCAACTAGAGACTCTGCTCAAAGCATAAAGTAGAAGCAGACCCCGCAGAGCACGTTCCTCCAGCCTCCCGGTTTAGACTTGGGAACATATCCGACCAGCAGATCGGCGCTGCAGAGAGGCCCCCTGAGCGCTGTGAAGCAAGCCCGAGTTCGGCCAACCTTCCTCCCCGCTTTCCGGGTGCCTCTGCAGCCAGGAAGCCCTTCCGACGCCTCAGAGCCTGCCCTTCCCGTGCGCTCGAAGGGCGCGCGTCGCTTTCCGGCTTTCCGGACGCTTCGGAGGCAAGATGGCGTCGAGCAGCGGGGTAGGTGCTGGGTTTGTGTTTTGTTCCCCTAAGGAAGGGAAAATACGGTTTCTCTTCTGGCTCCTTTGCTGAGAATCGTAACGCGTTGGGGAAACAGAGTTGGTAAGGACCTCCGCGTAACTTCATCGGCGGAGATCTGGAGCGCCTTGTGTTTTTCACGGCCGTAAGAAAAGGTCCCACCTCAGCGCGTAATAGGTTTGGCTGAGGGCCCTCTGCATATGTAGCTGGAGCACAAGGAGCCTCGGAGAGCTTGGCCATGGTCACACCGCGTCCAGCATTTTGGGCCACACAGTGGCCCCACGAACGCACTGAAAGTCCCAGGATAAGACAGGAGGACGATAGGCCCCTCCGCTCTTTTTCCTTAGCAGGTTTATGTTATGCCGACTTTATGGTTGCATACTAACTTCTGGATCCTAAATCCATCTTCCACAGCATCTGAAGGCAGTGAATTCCATAATTTTAAATGATCTGTGCAAATAACTGTATTTCACTGGTTATGAATCTCCTTACATTATATTTTATTGGATACCTCTTTCACTGTATGAGTAAGAGTAGGGTCCACAGGTTTATGTAGAGTCATTGGCCATTTTATTTTCAGATACTTTCCTATTGTTTCCAAGTATGAAATTAGCCACATAGTGGGCTGACATCTTACTATAGCCATACACTCTAAGATCCCTTTGCTGATCAGTTTAGCACCAACATTGTGCTACAGGTGAGTAAATGTGAAGTAGATAGAATATTACACACACACACACACACACACACACACACACAATCTGTACCAGCCATTGAAATAGGAAAAACATGGAATTACAAAATGAAAATGTGGCTCAGTTTGAACAGCACACTAAGCTAAAATTTTAAACCATAATTTATAGAATAAGCTACAGTTAGATAGAGTTGGCATATTGTGTTAAGTCAGAAACAATGGTTTACAAACCACAGGGGCTGGGTTCATGCAATACGAAGCCACAGAAATACAAACTACATTATCATCAATCTACGTGCGGTAGTCTGTTAGCAAAAAGGATGGAAAATAAAACTAACAGGATCATTGTGTGCTGTTCTGCCCATCTTACCTCAGAAATGATATTGTAGAATGAAAAGACAAGAAAATACTAAGAAATTTGGAAACCTGTTTTTAGTTCATCAAAATTATAACTTTTGTATGGTGTTTAGTAAGCAATCTATTTCTAGATAGCACAGGTATCTTTCTTAGGCTTAGCAAGGCATAGTGGCTCTGCATGCACATGCATATGGGCACAGCCAGGAGCTATTTATGAAGCAGCCACATGAGCCTGGAAGAAGGACCTGCTTCATTGATGCAAAGAAATATGCTTTGTGCATGTTTCTGTACTTGGGAAGCAAGTTTTTCAAAGGATTTGAGCCACCTTAGTATAGTATATAGTATATATGCACCTAAATCAGCGTATGTTACACCTCTCCTCTGCAAGCCACATTAGTTACCCGTTTGCTTCCAGTTTCAATTCAGGGTGCTGGTAATGACCTATAAAGACCTACTTGGAATAGGACTGAGTTATTTGAGGGACCGCCTCTTCCCAATCACATCTACCTGCCCATCAGGTCCAGCAGGAAGGGCATGTTGCAGGTCCCATCCACAGAGGACTCTCATCTGTTGAGACCTAGGTAGAAAGCCTTTTCTGATAAGGTAGCTGCTCTTTGGAGCATCATTGCCCCTGAGGTTAGATTGGCCCCAACTTGCTGGCTTTCTGGAAGGGCCTGAAAACATGGCTTTGTCATCTGGCCTGGGGATCCCAGTAACATGGGTATGGAGCCTGCAAAGTGGCTGTATTGCTAGGGAAATAGATTGCACTCTCCCACAGATTTTTTTTTTTAAGATTTTCAATTAATTTTGTTGTTATTTTTGGTTATTTGGTTGTATTGTTTTGTGTTTTTAACTTGGTATGATGCTCAGAGTCATGTATGTGAGATTAACAGCTATATAAGTTTATCAAATAAATAAATATCTCTAGTATAGGATTGATCAGGTCAGTTAAAGCAATGATTACCTTTATGGTGGTAACATAATGCTTTAAGAAAATGTTAAAATCCATTTAAATTTTTAAAATTTGATTTAATTAAAAGCCAATTTTAATTTAGAAGACCGAATTTTTATCTGATTCTGTGCATCAGTGAAACAAAATACCTAATATTCTCAAAGCCTTCACTTATTTGGAATGGAGAAAATCTTGAAAAGACTGAAGTAGGGCTGCCAACTAAACAGTCCAGCAGGATTTCAGTGCCTTGTGGTCAACAGATAGCAAGATATTCCATATTAGCCTTTATCTGTTGCCTGTGTTTCTGCTATGGAACTGGAAAGGTATACGACCAGTGGAACTGGAAAATTATGACTTTCACCTACCCCAGTGGTGAAAACTTTGAAAGCAGGCCGATCACTATAATTGGTCATAGATTGATTTTTCCTCCAGGCCAATATAGAGAATTGGATGGGATGCAAATTATACAGTTCCTGAATCTGGGTGCACAATAGATATTAATGCAGAAGTGAGATGGAAGAGTGAGTGTGCCACTTGAGTGCTGGTGACAGGGCAATAGTAAGTATAAAAAATGCCTTCTGGCTATGAAGTACAACTCCCAGTTCAGTGCAGGACTTCAAATTAAAGGATCCTGAGAAACAGCTATCCAGCTTCTGGATGAACACATCCAGCGAAGGAGAACTTGGTTCTGTAATCAAACAGTTCTTATTATTTGGAAGATTTTAAGAGCAAACTAGAATATCTCTTCCTGCAACTATCAATGGTAGAGCCATTGTTCTCTACCCTTCATTATGGGATACAGGTAGTCCTTGTTTAGCAACCACAATTGGGACCAGCAACTCCATCACTAAGCGACGTGGACATTAAGCAAGACATTATGTGACTGCAGTGGACTTACAACCTGCTGTGCTTAAGCAAGACATCACGTGACTGCAACTTGTGATTTTACTGCCAGCTTCTCCATTGATTCTGCTTGTCAGAAGCTGACTGTTAAGTGCACAAATGGTAATCACATGACTCTGGAATGCTGCAATGGTTGTAAATGCCTGTCGGTTGCAAAGCACCTGAATCTTGATCACGTGACTGCAGGGGCGCTGTGATGGTCATAAGTGTAAGGACCGGCCTTAAAGTTACTTTTTCAGCGCCATAGTAACATGAGAATCGTCGCTAAACAGGGCAGTTGTTAAGCGAGGTCTACCTGTAATAGAGATCAGGTTGTAATATTTCTTTAGGTATTTGAAAAGTGCTCTTCTATTACCCCCCATCTTTTGTAAAGACAAAAATATACCCAGTTTCCTCAGTTTTCCTCCTTAGTTTCAAGTTTGTGTGATAAGCTCAGGAAGAGGGTAGGTGGTTATCTGTTAGGTATAGTGTAATTTAATTTCCTGCACCAATCCTACCTCAGTCTAGCCACTCTAGGCATCTGATAAAGTGAGCTGCAACTCACAAGAGCTTAGGCTTTTAAATAAAATTTGTCAGTTGGAAAAGGTGCTACCAGACTACTGATTTTTTGCCACCATAGACTAACATAACTCTCCTACAAAGCACCAAGCAGAGGGTTGGGTTTGAGGAGATAAAATGCCCCTTCCAACTCTATGATATTATGAGTAGATAATGTGAACAGAATTGGCTGAACCTGAGGTTGTCGTAACCAGTGTTCTCTGTAGACGTGTCTCTGTAATGCAAAGTATTTGCTATTGTTGTTGAGTAGCAGTGGCTGTCACAAAGAACTATGTTGTACTATGAAGCACCTAAAACTATCATCCTGATCAGGTTTAAATCATTTGTGATATAGTGCAGAAGATTTTAGCTGCAGTTCTGTTACAGGTTATGTTCTGCCACCAGTGGAATTCCCCCCTCCATGTATTTATGCTGGGGAAAGGATAAATATTGGGAGGATTGCAATACATAATGGAGATTAGCTCTCTCATCTCTGGCTTCTTGGAAAGCAACATGTTATGGCAATTCCATTATCCATCTTATGTTAGGTAACAGTTCTCATGTCCCTCTGCCTTTTCTGCAACTTGCCTCTTCATTTCACATTTTTCTGTCTGTGGCTTTATTCTTCTTTGTAAGATCTTAAGCAAAACTTCCCTTGCATGAGGAATGAGTGCAATGGTTCAATACTGTAATTTGCATATTGTCTTATATCTCCCTTCTTTAGTGTATATACACCAATATTTTCCAAACTATAGTTCATACAGCCTTGTTCCATATGTGTTGACCTATAGCTAACTGCCTCTTCTCTTGCAATTCTAAATAGTTCAGTCAGTATTTCATCAGTGCCTGGTACTGTACCTCAATTTTTAGTGGAGTTTGTTCCTGAATATATTCTTTCTCTACAAATGTTTTTGTTATTTTATAGTCCCATTTGTAAAGAGTTGCAGTATAGTCTTTCTATCTTCCTTTAATCTCACTTCCCTCTATCAGTTTTCTTCCATGATTATTTTTATGTATTTTTACCTTATCTGTACATTGTCTGTCATTTTACTGATATTCATTCATTAGATTTATATTCTGCCATTATTTTGTACAACTCAAGCCAGTGTACATAATGCTGTTTTCTCCATAACAACAACCCGGTGAGATGGAGGGGTTGAAAGAGAGTGATTATTCCAAGGTTGCCCAAGTGGTTTCCATGCTTAATGAAGGATTACTATTCATTTTCTCCTGGTTTCTAGTCCAGTACCTTAACCACTACACCAGCCTGACTTTCTTAATTGTTTTTTAATATTCTGTAAAATATCTGGTTGTGGGTGGGTTGGTGGTTGGTTGGTTTTTTGGTATTTCTCGATTTATTGACCTCCTTCATTGAGGACATGTGGAGCTGTGTAGGTGTGAGGGAGGACAGCCTAGCTAAGGAA